TGGCTGAACAGAAGCAGTGATGTAATGCTGATAGCAGCATCACATTTGTGAAAAAGCATCCATGTTTCCACACTAGCCCGGATCCTTTACCCACCACAGATCAATACCCCGCAGGTTTCTGCAGAATGATAGCCTCATCCTCTCACCTCATCCTCTCACAACACGCTGCCTTCATCCACCGTATCACTTTATGACACAGGCCAGAACAGCCAGCAAAATAACATCCACCACTGTTCGGCTTTTATTGGAGCTCTCTGCTGTGATGGTGGGTGATGTGGTGCCATCTGAAGCTTTGTGAGCTACAGGACCTCCAGTGCTGATAAAATAACAAATAACCACAACACGCCATTTGTTCATTTCATTTTCCTGGATAATGTGCGTTGGACATACAGCCACGTTTTAATTTGGAATAGCGCCACAGATCTATAACCAGATGTGTTCAGATGTCCATGTTAATATCGCAGCAGTATCGATGCATTGTGATTTCTCACCTGCACAAACCAGAGCAGAGCGGAAGCACAGCAGCCCCAGCAGCAGCTCCGCCAGCCCCATGGTCCTGCGGGGACTAGTAGCTCGAACCCGACGTCCACCCTTTGCTCGACATCTGCGTCCTCTGACGAGGCTCCCGTATCTGTTTTCAGCTCCCACACGCCGCATACACCGAAAACAGTGTCCTTTGACGACAACCAAGACAGAAGGGTCAAGTTAGTTTTAGCAAACCATACAATTTCCGGTTAATGTTTTCAAAATAAAAGTCATTTTTAATCATCTACTTAAGTTGGTCTTTATCTGATTTCAGTTATAAAAGAGGCTGATACATGTGTTTTACCATGCAGACTACAATATAAACAAGCAGTAGCTTGCTGCCTGCTTCGTCCTGAAACATTAGCTAGATAAATGGTTGACCTGTTCGGCCGTATGGGAGCATACAGGGCCATAACAGCTCCACACCTGGGCATGTCACATCACATCTCTGTGGAGCTGATCCCAGCATATAAACCTCTGATCTGCAGGACAAAACCAATCACCAAAGCAGTTAACCTGTGGATGGAGGAGGCTTCTTCAGCATTACAGGACTGTTTTGAGCACACTGATTGGGGGGTGTTCAAAGAGGGCTCAGACCTGCAGGCTTATACATCAGCTGTTCTGGACTATGTGCAGTTCTGTACTGATGCTGTCCTACCTATGAAGTCCATCAGGGCTTTTCCAAATCAGAAACCATGGTTGGACAGTACAGTGTCACGTCTGCTCAAAGCTCAGGACGCTGCCTTCAGATGAGGTGACAGGCTGGCCTATAGCAGGGCCTGGAAAGAACTAAAGAAGAGCATCCAGCTGGCCAAATGCAGGTACAAACAACGCATTGAGGGAGCACTTCTGAATAACAACACACAGAGTAGGTGGAGAGGTATCAAAACAATAACAGAGTACAGAGGCGCAACAACCAGCAGGTCAGCCATGATCCCACCCTCCCTGACACTTTGAATAGTTTCTTTGAATGCTTCGATTCACCTGGCAGCAGAGGAACTGTACATCTCCCTCAGCTTCAGGAGCAACACCAGCCTCTCATCCTGCAGCTACACCAGGTGAGCTCCACCCTGAGGAGGGTCAACACCAACAAAGCCGCAGGACCAGACGGTGTCAGGCCGGGTTTTGAAGCTATGTGCTGACCAACTGGCATGAATTTTCCTGGACTTTTTTAACCTGTCCCTGCATTGTGCTTCAGCCCCTTTGTGCCTCAAGTCCTCCATCATTGTGCCTGTGCCCAAGAAATCAGCTGTCACCTGCCTCAATGATTACCACCTTGTTTCTCTGACACCAGAAATTATGAAGTGCTTTGAGAGGATCGAGGACCTAAAGCACATTGAGGATGTCATCCCTGCTGGTCTGGACAGCCATCAGTTTGCCTACAGAGAGAACCGAACAACAGAGGATGCTGTCTTAATAGCATTACACCAGTGGCGGGCCGTGCATTTTGTACCTGGGCCTTCAGTGGGGACTTACCCGACTTAATTCACCACTATTATGTTGCAATTATAGAAACCATCAATACTATACAAAAACGTAATATAATTAGCATGGGATTACAGAGAGAGCGGTATTTCGCTTATTGAGGGTGAATACCATTTTTACTAAAGCAAGAAACCCAGTTAAGACAACTCCAAACCTCTACACTACAACTGCAACTGTGCCACATCATCTGGTGCAGTTCAGAATCAGTATTTATTTAATAACATGACAAAAACATACAAAATTTAAATTAAATACATCATACTCACCAGAGATGCTATTTATAGACGATATCCATCCTCCTTTCTTTGCGCAGGAAGACTTCAATGACTCTAGAGGTGATCTCTGCGTTTCAGTTCCATCATTAAGTCCTTTTCTTGTTTTGCTCTGACCAACCAATCAGAGGATGGAAAAATGCTGACGTTATTGTAGGCCAGCTAGCTGGCCCTGTGAGGCGAATTTGAAATCTGATTAGTTAAAGAAACAGTCCCATTGCTAACGTAGTTTAAGTTACATTGGCCAGCACTACTCCTTCTGAAGGCCCTGGGCAGATTAGATTGACATG